TAAAAAAATAACTGTAGTAAGAAAAACAAATGAAAAATGCGAACTAATGTAACGTCGTATGGTGAGTTTTTGTTCGTATCGTGGAGCAAAAATATGTTCGAATTTCATGTCGTATCCTGAAAATTTCGTATGCTGGGGCATTCGTAACCTGAGGTACCACTGTAAATGAACATGGAATGAAATAATCCACACTTTTTTAGATTTTTTTTTTTGTACTTAAAAATTAAATTAATAAGCAAAATTTTGTTTTTTCTAAATTGTTTAGTTTTTTAATGAAATTGGATCAATTCTAATTAAAATTGTGCTAAATTCTGTTTTTATTGAAAAATGAATTGACAAACCAATTCAAGTGTAATGAACTGGAAATTTTGAAAAGAACTGGTGTACTAAAATAAAAGTAAATTAAAAGGAATAGAAATTTTTAAAATTTGTTAATTTGCACTTAAGATAATAGCCTAACTAAAAAATACAAAAACTGTCACTAATGAATTATACATTTTAAAAAAATTTTGAGAAATATGAAAAAATTACTATTTTATTATTTGTTAAAATGAGTTTAGAATCTATTAATATATACTAATTGAAAGAGGGTTTTAGTTTGTCTGACTTAGTTTGAGTAACAGCTAGGGATAAAAATATGGTTCAAGTATCAAATTAAATCTGTTATTGTGTAGATGATGCTGAAGAGATGTTTGAGAAAGGTGCAATGGTTTGGGCATAGCAAAGTGACAAATGTACAATGTTAAGTCTGTGGAACAAACATGCTGGGGTCTCACTTCCTTGTTAGCCCTCCCCCAAGCAATACATATATATATACAGTGGTGCCTCATATAACGTACTTAATCCGTTCCAGATGCACGTCCGTTATACGAAACGCATTTTTCCATAGAAATATATGTTAAAACATATAATTTGTTCCCAGCATAAAATAACCATACTGTACCAGTAAAAAAATGAAAATGGAGCAGTCACCAATTATGCCAGGTAGTCAGATGATGTGAGGAGGAGGTGGAGGAACACTTTCTTCACACATTCATACAGATACAGATTTTTTACACATTGCAGCAGGTCTCTTTTTATTGTTTTTTAATTGGAGTCAGATTCAGGAGAGGCTACCGGAGCTTGCAGGGTCAACTCCCCTTGTTCCATCCTTTGTTTTTTGCCTGCTGGCTTCTTGAAAAACATGTCCAAGGTGGTCTGTTTCTCTCTCTTCTTCAACACCTGTCGGAAATGACGGGCAAGTGTGTCATTGTAGATAGAGATCATTGATCCTGTTGGCCTCAGCTCTGTTTGGATAATGAGTGTTGGTAAACTCCTGATCCTCTTTCCATTCTACAAGAAAGTTGTTGTCAACTTTCACTCCTTCTGATGATTTCTCACTTTGTTCCAATTGAAATCACCTTTGTGTTTTTTTAGAAGCCATGATTTGCACAACACTTGAATAAATGTAAATACCCTGCACTGAGCTGATGTACGTAATAAACAAGGGAGCAAGCCGAATCCCAACGGAAGTTCTGTACTTCAGATATACTAATAATATATTCTAATAACACTAATATATTATAAAAATAGATTGTCATTGGCAACGGCAAAAGAGTGAAAATATCATTTGCACTTGTTCACAGAAAGTTTGTTGTTTGCCTCATGTAACTGCCAAACGTTAAAACAAAGCATTTTAACTTTTGACTAAGATTTCCACTCTTGGCTATTCAGAAACTTCACCAGTATAATAAGTCCTATAAATAAACAAAGTCAAAGTAGACGATATATACATATAAAATGTAAAAAGTAAGGACAGAGAGGTAAAAAGGAATCCAATCTTTATATTTTATGTACCATAATTTGCAAAAAATTTCTTACACTTTGTTTTTACCTTAGAGCAGTAGAATGTGAAGAAAATAATTGAAATTTTTAAGAACATTTTATGATAAAATGTATTATAAGATAAAAATCTGAATTTATTTATTAAGTTTGTTTTCTAAGAAGAAAAGAAATAGAGTATAAATAGATACAGTGGTACCTCAGGATACAAAATTAATCCATTCTGAAATTGAGATCGTATCATGAAAATGTTGTAAGGGGAATCATTTTTCCCCTACGATTACATGTAAAACCAAATAATTTGTTCCAACACTAAAAACACACTCAAATTAAAGCTAAGTTGTACATTAAAAAAAAAATAACAACTATAGTAAGGAAAACACTGAAAAATGCATTTTGTAGTCATAAATGTATAAATAACCGTAATAAAATAATAATTGATTAAAAAAATGTAGTTTTATTTGCACTTTACCTTTGAGGATAGACAACGGTGGAGGTGTAAACTGGTGGAGGAGGAGAGAGAGAAGGGAAATGATACTAAAACTTAACTTGCATAACATAATGTAACAATAACTTTAAAAAATTAGTGTTAAGTTATTTTTATCTTTTCTGTTTCATAATTTTTTTTTATTCACTGCTTTTTTGCTTTTTTTCCTTCACTTCCACCAGCACTTTCACTAGATAGAGGTTGCTTGGTAAAATATCTATCCAAAGAGGTTTGGCTTTGCCTACTTTTAAAATGTTTCTAAAATGACTTAGGCAAATTTCATTACTCCGAGCAGCAATATGGCCAGTGTGAACCTTTTCGGGATGTTTCTTTTCAATAAAATCAGTCACTTACTGATAATACCTCAAGATTTTTTTGATCGAGTGAGATCATTCCAAGACGAAGCAAACACGTGGACTGAGATCAATGAACAGAAGTGAATAAAAAATGGCGCTGCAAACTAATGTAACGTCGTATGGTGAGTGTTTGTTCGTATCGTGGAGCAAAAGTATGTTCGAATTTCATGTTGTATCCTGAAAATTTCGTACGCTGGGGTGTTCATATCCTGAGGTACCACTGTATTACTTTTAGGCTATATAGTTTGATTTCAAAGAACATAATTGTTTGAAATTTTTTGTGGTTTGAGATGTTAAATTTGAACTATTTACTAGTGATGTGCCGTGTATCCGTATCCGTGGATATCTGAGGGGAAAAAAGATCCATATCCGTTACTTTTTAGTGGATCTTTAACGGATCTTTTATCTTAATGAATTTCATTACTTATATGAAATTTTAAAGATAGGTTGCAATAAAATACTAATAACTTCAATTTAAATCATTTTTTATTTCTTAAAATTACATATTTGGCACATTCATATTGCAAAAATTTTATCATGCAAAATTCATTTACTATCGTAAAATATTTCCATATTACACTACTAAACTTTTTTGTTGACATTGTTTTTATTTTAATTTAACTCAACACTCTCCAAAGATACAAACATAATCTATGCTATCCTGTGTCACACTAAACTATAAACAAAAACACGCGCAGTGCAAGTCAAAACATGTCATGTTACTAATGCAAAGCGTCAACTGTCGGTCCAAGGTCACAAGCACCGGTGCCGACTGAGTATGAAAGTTGATATCCGTATCCATATCCGCAGATCTAGACACTAATGATCCATATCTGTATCCGCGGATATACATTTTAACGATCCGGCACATAACTACTATTTACAGAATTATACTTAATTTAATTTGCATTTTTTTTTTAATATATATAATATATTTATATTTTTGCTTCTTTTTAAACTTATATAAATATATATTTTTTAATTCTTTATACTTAAAATAATTTATTGACATTTTTATTTTATTAGGTTTATTATAAAGTTGCAAGAATTTATATAACCAGACAATGAAAAGATCAAATTCCTTACATCAGAATTCAACAAAAAGTAATATTCCCAAATTACAATGCTTACAACGTTCATCATCTCTTCGTTTAAGTGGAGAAAGCAGACTGTCATACAATTCTAACAATTCAAACAATTCAAATCAGATTGATAATCATGTTCCTCAAAAGCCACAAAATTTTCCAAATTGGAAAGATAGAATTAAGCATTATAGTGGAGATAATTCTAGAGGTTTAACTCCATCTGAACCAACTACTCCAGATGTAGATGATAAAAGCTCTGTTAAGAGTTTTGGTAGTTGTGCAAGCTTTATGTCCTGTGATATAACAACAAATCAGCAAGGAACAGATTTATCATTAACAAGACATACCAGTAGAGGACAACATAAGAAATATGTTCTTCATTGTCAACGTCATGCTCCAACTCAGACAGAATATCTTACACCTACACAACGAAAAGATCGTCAAATTCGACATCTGAAAGCAGCATTGATTCATTCTACTAGAGCATGTGAAGAAAAAGATGTAGAAATAGAAAGACTTAAATCAGAAATAGATCGTTTACATCTGGCATTGACAGAGGTAAGATCAGTTAGTTATTTAATAAATTAAAATTATGTTACAATACTAAGAAAGCATTAACTAATAAGTAAAATATTTTCAAATTTATTTATTTTTTATAAATGATCTCTTATCTTGTTTTATATGGGAAGTGTTTGTCAGCAGAATAAAATATTAATACATGGATACCACCCCATTGTGGTTTGTTTTGTTACATAACATCATCAGTTTGTTTAATACAACTTGCATGTTACATACACATATACCTACATTTTTTCTGCTTTCTTTGTGCCATCATTAAAACCTTTTTATTTTCATTTCATGTTAATAATTTTTCTCAAAGGCAGACTTAGAAAATTGCTTTTAACTTTTATATCATTACTTTGCTCCACAATGAATTTCTTAGTAGAAGTAATTAGCATGTGCATTATCCTTGTGCATATAAAGGTTAACATATTTGTCATCTGTGACATCTCACATAAAATAAAACCCTATTGTGTATAACTTTTATTACTTCAAGTTTTATAACATTAGAATTTGCTAAGAATCTAACATTTAGTTTTTTGTTTTCGATAAAATAAAATGTCATTTTTTAGGTATTACTATTTAGCTTTATATAAAAATATTTTTAAAATAATTTTATATGAAAACTAGTGAATTGAAGTTGTTAGAAATTTATATTTATTTGTAATTATATTAATACAAAACTTAGTCAAAGAATTTAACAATACATAAAAATATAATGCACAGTAAATAGCTGTCTAAAGTTTTTAATCTTTGCAAATATCAATACTATGATTTACAGTTTTTCTTATTTTAATCAGTACTATGATTTACAGATTCATTGATTTATACCTATTCTTAAATTCTCTTAATCCAAAAATTAAGTAGTACTAACCACACTCGAATAACCTTGAAGAAACAGCAAAAATTTAATAACTAAAATGTTTTTGGACTTTTTAACAACCTCCTTCAAGTAGAATATGTAATGGAATACCACAATTGTAGTTTGGATGATGATAATAATAATCTAGAATACAAATTTAAATTTTACCATCTGATCATTAAGATATCGTAAAATGAATGTATAAGTTTGAAAATATTTAAAAATGATTACACACAAATTAAATGAAATAAAGGTGAATTTCCTGGGCTCCAGTTGACCCCATCTCTTGTTTTTGATGGCCGTTTATTTTTGAAAGATTAAATGAATCTTTCAATCAGGATACCTGACACCTAGTCAATTACACTGGCTAGGAAGCAAATGGATTTTTGTAGCTAACTTCCAGATTTTATAGGAGGGACATTTCAATTGTGGGCAAGACAACAGAGTTAGGCAATAGACAGTTAATAAATTTATTTTCTTTGATTAAACTAGTTAATGGAAAAATTAGATAACAACTCTCTATATACATTTAACAAACTTTAAGGCTGCGTACACACTAGGCATTTTTAAACGCACGTTTGACGAACCAAGAGTTCTGCATAGGCATACACACTCAAACGCGCACTTTTGGCCAAGCGCGCGTTAAATGCACGTTTATAGATTTTTCTTAAAACACGTGTTTTGCGGGCGTCAGCCGAGTGCTTTGAGATATATGTGCTGCCATGTTACTGTACATTCGATCGCGCATTTTGCGGGCGTCAGCCGAGCGCTTTGAGATATATGTGCTGCCATGTTACTGTACATTCGATCGCGCGTTTTTGGGTAGAGTGGACGTACATTGGCCGAAATGAGAACGATCATTTCGATACTGATCTATTTATTGATGAAATCTAAAAAGAGAACAACCATTGTCAAAGGATTTTATAGATATTTTAAAAGAATTAAAAAACTTGGGTTTATTTTGTCTTAGTTTTGGATACAACGTCGCAAACACTCCATGTGTCAGTCTATCTCGTAATATTGGGTGCACCCAAAATTCTCTTTGCCTCTGCCATCGTCTTTTATAGCGACGATGGAGGAGGGGCACACAAGCAATTACTTGCACGTCCTTTTCCAAACTGAGCCAGTGCGTATGCTGCACTAAACGCTCGTCTAATGCCGAGCTAACGCCTGGTGTGTACGCTGCTAACGCGCATTTAACGCAACACAAAACACCTAGTGTGTACACAGCCTAAAACAAAAATCAAGAAGTGAAAAATTATACAAGATCTAGATACTTAGAATTAATATATATATTACATTTCACTTATATCTTAGAATTCCATCCTTCAAAGGAGAAATCAAAAATATGACCTACTAGACTACTATCAACATTTTCTATTTGAGAGAGAAAGAACATACATAATTTGTACTATCTTAAAATGATGAACAGTTTCTTTTCCACTGAAGGCTTCTTTAAACTTTAATCAAACTATATTAATTAAAATGACTTGAGATATGACAGGAATTTTCAGTTCTATCAGAAGAGCAAATGGATGAGAATAGCCCAACTCAGTCCATGGAAGGACTACAGCACTAAGAAGAGAGCACTTTTTTAGGGTGTGACCTCTCCCTTTTAAACAAAAATCTCTTCCAATTAAACTGTCAAAATAAGTCCTCCGCTCTTCCAACATGCGACAGAAGTTGAGCTGTTCAGTAGGTAAATTGTGTGAAATCTCACATTAAACTAGTAATTTCGAAGAAACTATGCTATCTCACTTTAACCGAACAGAATGTTCCTTTTCCAACTTCGTATATTTTACAAAAACAAGTAAAAATTATTGAATAATTATAACAATATTTTGTTATATCTGTTAACAAGTTCAATTATTAACATCCTTATAATTGATAGAATGTCCCGCACACATTGCTTTATAAATATAAAATGCTTCTGTATACGGTTTCTCTTTTTGTATGGTTTTGAGCTCAGTCTCATTCAATACTTCTAAAATCTTAGAGATGGCATACACCACTAAGGCAGTGATTGAGTTGGATTTCCTATCATCCTGGTATTCTTTTAAGCATTGTTTCTTGGATCTCAGGGTGTCCACAATGTAGCAGACATCATGCATGAGTCTGTTGTCCATTAAGGGTATGTTGTAAACACCTGGGTCAAGAACCATGTCTGGGAATCCTTATTTCTTAATAAGCTATAAAGAATAAAGTTTCTTCTGCAACCAGTGGTGTTGCCTATCTCCTTAAAAATGTTTCATTGTAGATTGTAACAATATAAGTATTGAATTAACTTTTATATCAACAAATAACTAAATGCTTACTGGAGATATTAAATAAAAATAAACAAACACCTTTCTCTATTCCAGCACACTTTTAATGCGTTGAAAAAATTGATGATGATCGATTAAAACGATCGAAAACGTTTTTCAACGCATTAAAAGTGTGCTGGAATAGAGAAAGGTTTGTTTATTTTTATTTTATATCAACTATGAAGTTAACTGCTTCTAGCCCTCTGGTGGTAGGTACAAGTTATTCATTTCATTTGCATATAATTACAATTTTCAGAAGATATCCTGATTACAAATTAGAAGATATCCTGAGGCATCATGAAAATTAACTTTTGTACTTGAAGGTTATAAAAGAAAAATAATCTATAGTTTAAATCTTACTAGAAAACCTTGAAGAGAATATCTTAAAATGAATTTTTAATGTATTATTAAACCACATTAATTTTTGTATATCTGTATTAACAGATATTATGCTAAACAGATTGTGTTGACTTAGAACATAACTTTAGATAAAGTGCTTTTTAGAAATATTATATTCACTTTTAGATTTGATAAATTAAAGCATGTATTTTGTAAAACGTAGTATTTTAATAGATAGATTTTCTTTTATGTAAATTATAAGGAATATAATACAAAATCTGTAAAGTGATAGGTTTTTAGACCATAAGAGAACATTAGAGAGGTTGCAGCTGACGTTTTCATTGCAAAAACGTGAATGTCAGACATTCAGCACTGCCTTCCTGTAAGCCTAGAAGTTTGACAATGGCATTTGGAATGTTGAGCATGATTCCACTGACGTTCCAAATGCCATTGTCAGACTTCTAGGCTTACAGGAAAGGCTGAATGTCCAATGTTCACGTTTTTGTGATGAAAACATTGGTTGCAACTTCTCTATTAAATACAAAACTTTATTTTTGTATTTAATTAATTTTAATGTTTCATTGTGTACTTATTTATTTTTGTGTGTTCCTTTATTTTATTTCATTTTATTTATGTGCAATCATTTTTTGAATTTTTTGAATATTTTCAAACTTATATCTTCATTTTACGATATTTTAATGTTCAGATAATAAAATTTGAGTTTGTATTCTAGAATATCCAAACTGTTGTGGCATTCTTTTACATATTCTACTTGAAGAAGATTAAAAACATCCGAAAATGTCTTAGTTACTAAATTTTTGCTGTTTCTTCAAAGTTATTTGAGTGTGTTTATTATCTTTGCACGGCAACTCTGATTTAGTTATTAATGAATACCTTTTGCTTTTATCATTCAAAGCTTATTTAGATTGTATTCAATGTAAAAATTCAAATGCACAGATTTTTTATTGAATCTAATCTAATATTTTCATTAAAAATAAAAATGAACAAACTCCATTTTTTTGTTAACTTTGTTGCTACATTATGTACAACACAAATATAAATAAACAAAGGACAAATTCTAGGCAATGTACTACTCTTAAAGCACAAAAATCTTATATAAACATTGTACTGTATAAATCTGTTTAGAAATAATGATGTAAGCCTAGTGGATTGCACTGACATACATATATGACAAGACAATAGTGAGTCTGCATGACATGTCATTTGTCATCTAGTTTGATTTAAAAATTTAAACAAAATTATAAAATTTTTTCTTTAACATCATTCTTTTTGTCTTATAAAATATCATATACATCCAGAATCATTGGTCTGAAAAATTGAAAATACTGTTCTTCTGTTTATTCTGTATAATTATCATCTGGTATTGCTAATTTTCATAATTTTCAATGCTCATGGTTATAAGTATCACTATCTCAGTTGTTGCTAGTCACTTTTGCATCTTTGGAATATTTATTTTAACAGATTCTTTCAAC